AAATTTTAATGCGGATAGATTTTGATAAACAATACAAGTTTCTAAAATGTTAAACATCTCGAAATAAAAGAAAAATCGTTCTGATCTATACGATATGAAAACAAATTTTAGATCATTTTTCAATTCAACCTTCAGTAGAGAATAATTATAAACTTTGATATGTATTGTAAGAGTCTCGCAACCTGAAATTTTCGATAGTGGAACTCTTTACTAAAATGAAATCAACAATATCTGAATTTGACTATTGCATGTCATTTTATAGAAATGGTCTCTATTCGAATTCAAAATGTTTTGGATAAAAAATTCTCGGCTGTGTCAAAACCATAAGTTTGGAATGATAATTTATTTTAAAATTTCTTAACCATTGTGTATCTCTCTTCAAGTAATTCTCCTCCCCGAATGAATTATTTTAAATAGATTAATGAAAAGAAAAAGTGCAATTTAATGATGAATCATGTCAGATTGAATTACCGAGGAGTATCTTTTTCTTTGTCCCTTTAGTTCAATATTAGACCTAGAACAGTTCCCAGTTCTATGAACTGTATATTTTCTAAGAACTGGATTAAGCGTCCGGTTCTTTTTCAAGAACTGGGTAAAGTGACCAGTTCTATGTCAAGAACTGGGCAAAGTGACCAGTTCTTTTTCGAGAACTGGCTATTGTGACCAGTTCTATGTCGAGAACTGGGCAAAGTGATCAGTTCTTTTTCGAGAACTGGTTATTGTGACCAGTTCTTTTTCAAAGAACTGGTTGAACAGATCAGTTCCTATCAAAGAACTGTTTGAACAGTTCTCAAGAGCGGAACTGATATGGAACTGTCTTAGATCTATTCAATATACTTACAGTTTTGTTGTTCTTCTCGGATTCCTCGAATGTAGATAAGTCGATTCCAATCAATTTGATCATTATCAACAATAATCGTCTTATTTATATCTTTTCGAATAAATTGTTCAAGTTTGTGCTGTATTTCATTGATTTTTTGTGTAAGTCGATCAATATCATATTCAACAAAATTTTCTTCTTCTCGAAGACAACGAATTTCTTTTGTGATTGGTTCAAGTTGTTTTGTTATTGTTATTCGTTGCTCATCGATTAATTTGATAAATTCATCACGAGCTTTTTCTGCTGCTTTTTCAACTTTGTTGATCATCGTGTTTTTCCACTGTTCAATTTGATCAAAAAGATCCGATGACAAATAATTTGATTTTTCTAACTTTTGGATTTGATCAAGAAGTTCATCATGTGATCTCACTATTTCATTATCAAATTTTATCGATAGTTGTTGTTCATGTTCTTTGAAATCCTTCCGGCAAAAGTATTTTTTACATCCGGTGCAAAATGATTTAGCTGAAGGTTTATTGCAGATTGAACATAAAGTTGATTCATTTACTGTTGCCATTTTTCTTAGAAGAAAATTACGTGAATTGTGTGATTGATTATGTGCATATCCCAAATAATCTGAATCTACAATGAATTCATATGAGTTTTAAATGTTTTACTCTATATGCTGCCTTTAGGATTTGAATCGAATCTCGTTCAACTATCTCAAATATGACTCCATTTATATTCAATAAAAACATATGAACAAGATTATATCAATCTTCAATGGATTCTTATATTTATGATTTAATAATTCCATAGATCTTAATCGAATTCGGTCATCTCAAATATTTCATAAATTTTATTCGAAAAGGAATAATGCCGCATGGAAAAGATGGCTTTAGGGTGACAAAATTCAGAATTCGTTGAAAATATATCTGAACTTAGTATACAGATTTCTTTATATAGGATAATGATGTTCTTAGTAAATAAAAACTCATTCTTGTTTAGTAAAAAATGTATGTTAATCGATATTTAAAAAATACATCAAAATATTACTTGTATGAAACAAAAAGAAACGAAAAGTATTGAAGATACGTGACGATTTTCCAAATATGACACTTGCTATATTCGTTCTGATGGAAAGACACTTTTGAAAACTTTCTCATATAGTTTTATCAAGAATCACTTAATTTGATGATGAATTTTGTGACTACATCTGAAAAGACATCGATAAATGAGAAGGTAACAGCAATTTCTCCAATACTCTTTTCTTTAAATTATTTTTTTATTAGTCGCAGAAAAAAATGAAATATTTAACGAGTTCTTTCCTCGACATTTCAATTTGAGCAAGTTAAGCCTAATTTTTTCTTCAAAAAAGTGGATAGCTTCGAAAATATTATGATTTCTACTTGTGTATTTCTTTGATTATGTATGCCCGGAATAAAAATAGTTGTAGTCCTTATTTTAAATATATCGTCATCACAGGATCATATTTTCAAAAAAAAAATATAACAGGGGTGTGGGTGTGGGT